ATGTGTGTTACATATGCAGTCGATGTTTGTTACATATGCAGTCCATGTGTGTTACATATGCAGTCCATGTTTGTTACATATGCAGTACATATGTGTTACATATGCAGTCCATGTGTGTTACATATGCAGTCCATGTTTGTTACATGTGCAGTACATGTGTGTTACATATGCAGCCTGTGTTTGTTACATATGCAGTCCATGTTTGTCACATATGCAGTCCATGTGTTACATATGCAGTCCATGTTTGTTACATATGCAGTCCATGTGTTACATAAGCAGTACATGTGTGTTACATATGCAGTCCATGTTTGTCACATATGCAGTCCATGTGTTACATATGCAGTCCATGTTTGTTACATATGCAGTCCATGTGTTACATAAGCAGTACATGTGTGTTACATATGCAGTCCATGTGTGTTACATATGCAGTCCATGTGTTACATATGCAGTCCATGTTTGTTACATATGCATTCCATATTTGATACATATGCAGTCTATGTTTGTTACATATGCAGTCTATGTTTGTTACATATGCAGTACATGTGTGTTACATATGCAGTCGATGTTTGTTACATATGCAGTCCATGTGTGTTACATATGCAGTCCATGTTTATTACATATACAGTACATGTGTGTTACATATGCAGTCCATGTGTGTTACATATGCAGTCGATGTTTGTTACATATGCAGTCCATGTGTGTTACATATGCAGTCGATGTTTGTTACATATGCAGTCGATGTGTGTTACATATGCAGTCCATGTTTGTTACATATGCAGTACATATGTGTTACATATGCAGTACATGTGTGTTACATATGCAGTCGATGTTTGTTACATATGCAGTCCATGTGTGTTACATATGCAGTCCATGTTTGTTACATATGCAGTACATGTGTGTTACATATGCAGTCCATGTGTGTTACATATGCAGTCCATGTTTGTTACATGTGCAGTACATGTGTGTTACATATGCAGCCTGTGTTTGTTACATATGCAGTCCATGTTTGTTACATATGCAGTCCATGTGTTACATAAGCAGTCCATGTGTGTTACATATGCAGTCCATGTGTTACATATGCAGTACATGTGTGTTACATATGCAGTCCATGTGTGTTACATATGCAGTCCATGTGTTACATAAGCAGTACATGTGTGTTACATATGCAGTCCATGTTTGTTACATATGCAGTCCATGTGTTACATATGCAGTACATGTGTGTTACATATGCAGCCTGTGTTTGTTACATATGCAGTCCATGTGTGTTACATATGCAGTCCATGTGTTACATAAGCAGTACATGTGTGTTACATATGCAGTCCATGTGTGTTACATATGCAGTCCATGTGTTACATAAGCAGTACATGTGTGTTACATATGCAGTCCATGTTTGTTACATATGCAGTCCATGTGTTACATATGCAGTCCATGTTTGTTACATATGCATTCCATATTTGTTACATATGCAGTCCGTGTTTGTTACATATGCAGTCCATGTTTGTTTCATATGCATTCCATAATTGTTACATATGCAGTCCATGTGCTACATAAGCAGTCCATATTTGTTTCAAATGCAGTCGACGTCTGTTACCTGTTTGTTTGAATGCGGAGAGAACACAAGGGCGGTACTAGAGCCCCGTATCGCCCCGTGCGGACACTGCCAGCGCAAATATGACAAAAATGCAATGAGGGGATTGCCTCCTGGGCACAGCTGGTCGCGGATAATGATTTGACTGGCGGACAACAACAGGAACACTGTTGTGTGTTGCAGGAGATTGAAAATACTGTGTCCACGATCAGGGCTGGAGGGCGGAAGCGCTTAAACAGTGTATGGGTATCAATATAGTATTACCGCAGGTGAAAAGAGGGTGTGATTGTTCAAAGAACATCGGAAACATTTACTGACCGATGCATTTCTATGGCGTTGGCCCTGATCAATTAGAATAATTAAATGCACACATTTCCGCTAGGTGGCTTTGAGCATTGTCCTAACTGCCACTTTATCTCATAGTCTTGTTCATTTAGATATCTGCTGCCTCTAGAAGGGTCTTCTATGGATAACAATTTATTCTAGCAAGGAACCTATCTCACTTCAATTACATATGTTACTTTTATTCCATACCGCTGTATCAAATCGGATTAAAAGATTCATTGTCATGAGATAGCGCAATGATCCCACAGAAGTGCCTCACATCCAAGAACCGGTTTGTAATTAATTAATGCAGGAAAGCTATCTCCGACCTTAGCTAAAAGAAATCAATTCCATGACAGCGATTAGTCTAATGTAGGTCAGCTGTGGTGTGTACCCTGTGTGCAGTCATGCGTATCTTTTTCATCTACATGACCAAACACTGAATATCGACAGCTTCGTCTCCCTCAAGCATGAGACAAACCACGCCGATCCAACCCAGGCAAGACGTAGTTCCTAGCAATTCTATTTATACACGAGCAATACACGGCATTGTCGGACGCGCATGAGCGATCGCCCTGGGTGCCGCTCAAGTACTGGGTCAGAGAAATGTATTGACGAGGGTTTCAACATCACCACGAAAAACGCGGGTTATTGCGACCTGTTACTTTCGAAAAGCCGTCTTTTCTAAAGGTGTTTCTTGAATTAAGTGGCCCTGGTATTTAATGGGAGTATGTGGGTCCTAATTCTGCTCAAAGGGCTGGCGTTATGTGTTGTGGCGCGCATGTGAACTTTGCGTACTTTGGTGCACAAACAAGCGGCGCACTATTACTCTATCACCCCCAAGGCTAGGAACGGGGCTAATGTGTTGTCGTAGTGATTATAAACTGCGTCGATAAACGCTAACATATGCTAGTTTGAGAGTAGATATCGTCTATTTTCGTGTGTAAATTACAGTACGTTTAATCATAATGAGTAAGCAGCAGGTGAAATGACGAAACAACGCTTAAATAATGAACTGAACAAAAGCGTTCCATATGTGTATATTTGGACATGTGAATACCCTTCTTTATAGACTGCATGGTATGACGAATTGAAAAAAGGTAACATAAAACATGATTTAAGATATAATACACTTAGAAGGTACTAAAAGTAAGGTGACATCAATATCTAGATAATGAATGAATAAAACGATAAACATGATAACAATGGAGATGAAGAGGCAGGGGGTAATTAGAAGAAAACCCGCATTATGTCCTAATTTGATGAAGACTTTCACACACGATTATGAGGGAATTAATATGCGCACACAAAACCCACCAATGCAATGTTCTGGCGACAACGCCCATGCAAGGCAGTGATGCTACTGGTGATGACGGTGGTATTCATATGAAACCTGTAGCACAAAACCACTACCAATACCAACACCACCTTAACACCTCTGTCTCTGATGGGCACCAGCACCTAAGATCTCGGCTTCGATTCCCAGATTCGCCCTGATAATTTCCAGGTTTGTTAACAACATACCCATATTCGTGGGATTCACTAGAGTAAAAACCTGCATCACTTCTTAGACCTGAAGGCGACTATGCTTGTCGGGAGGCGGGATCGGGTGGTCAGGCTTGCTGATTTGGTTAATGCATGTCATCGTATTCAATTTGCGTGGATCGATGCTCATGATATCAATCACTGGATCGTCTGGTCCAGACCAGATTATTTACAGATCACCGTCATGTATTGCTGAGTGTGGCGTTAAACAACAAAACAAATCTTAGACCTTAATCACCCAAGGCTCTCCTCCCACATCAAGCCGACACGACGTGAAATACTAAATACTGTTCAAGTAAGTTAAAACCCAAACTCATTCACTCACTCACTCACTCCAAATCGTTTTGGAACCCTCCACCCCTAATGTGATAAACAAGTTCTTGTATTTCAACTCCACACAAACAGTGTCAAGGTAATATGTTTTTACCGTTTGATCAGTATATTGTAGGCAAATCGTGGCAGTTTGGGATCTATAAACTTCCTTATACGTTTTAAATCATTTTGGTTGTCAATGACAACTGCCAAAATCTCCCACCTTACAGCCTGGAGCGTCAGGGAGTGTCGTGCATGGCATCAGGATATGACAGATGATCGCGTACTGTCACCCTCAGCCTCTCTCCACTCATGCTCGAAGGGGGAACATTTGAAATACGTAAAATTACAACCTATGTCTAAGTAATAGTAACTGAATCCAGTTTGATCATTGTTTTAACTACTTCAACATGTGATTGATTTTCAAATTTGAAAAACAATTCTGTCTTAATAAACAACAACATTTTAGTGAAATTAATATTTTTTTAACACTCTGGATCATTTATTATTTCATGTAAAACCCGCCGCACTGTCCTGTGCAGATCGCAGGGATACATGTATTCCGTTTGCAAACCACGCTCTGGTGATTTCAACATCATGCAACAAGTACCCCTAATCTAGATACATATATTATCAACCATTCTAAATATATAATATCAAAGGAATCCTTTGAGTCACCGCGGGCTCCACGCCTCTAGATGACGTGTGAATCATTCCGCCACCCCCTCGCCCCCAACCCCCTCGTAGCAGATGGTTTACAAAACACTTTTAAATGGGCGATTCGGACCATTTTCGTAGTTATTCCCGACATAACCCATCCCTTGCGTTAACATAGTTTCCTAAGCATATGTAGATTACACCATTACAAACAGGTATGGAGAACGCTTGTTTTCGTCTTTTGAAAACCAAATCACCCCCGCCCCCTTTTGAGAGAGGACTTTGATATTTTGGACCCCTCCCTTTTAAAAATGCTGCATCTGCCCTTGATACTAACGGATACATTATACACGTTTCACAAGATACACGCTTTCGGACACATCCGCCATCATAATTTATTGATTGTTTTATCAGTCAATGAAGATGCACCAACTTAGTTATACCTACACCATTGTTAATTGTTCTTTTTCAGTCACATTGGTATTCACATAAAAAGTACAAACATATCATATATGTGCAGTAGGCTATCATACATATGGAAGAAAAATCTAACGGAGCTAAGACTTCAACTTACCTGTGTGAAGCGCTACCAACCTGTATGTGAGCACTAGACGCTACCGGTGCTCGATTGCCTGGGACGCGCTTTGTGAGGCTCCCGCAGGGGACCCGCACAGCCTGGAATCTAATTTTAAACCTCGTAGGCTTGTAGTAACATTCCTCTTGTTATTCGCAGTGAAATGGAGTGTTTCCCCCCGAAACAATTGCTTGCCGTTTAGTAGTTGTTTATTTGTGAGTAAGATAATTGTCTCACAATTTTGGAATAATATGTATAATACAAATGTACTTTTAGGTTTGACATTCATCACCCGACAACCGGTTTCACTTCGCATATATTTACATACATTAAAACATTCCATTGATTGATGACACGGGTTTGACTGAGGTATTGAGTACGTGGAACTGTATGAAACAATTTTGAAATAATAGGTGTAAAATAATGGTATAGTTGATACAGTATTTGTGTCAGCAATGACTGTTTTATCGCTTGAACGAGTGCTTGAATGAGTCAGACGTGATCATACAGGCCCTGGGTTATATAGTGGTTACTTGAATCACTCTCTGCATCGACAGATAGGATTATTTACACAAATTCTGTGCATGTAGCTGTGTAAAAGTGCAACTACGTCTGGTTTGTAGTGTGTTGGTGTCTGGTCTGTAGTGTGTAGGTATCTGGTCTGTGGGGTGTAGGTATCTGGTGGTAGTGTGTAGGTATCTGGTCTGTGGGGTGTAAGTGTCTGGACTGTAGTGTGTAGGTATCTGGTCTGTAGTGTGTAGGTATCTATCTTGTTGTGTGTTGGTGTCTGGTCTGTGGGGTGTAGGTATCTGGTCTGTGGGGTGTAAGTGTCTGGTCTGTAGTGTGTAGGTGTCTGGTCTGTAGTGTGTAGGTGTCTGGTCTGTGGGGTGTAAGTGTCTGGTCTGTGGGGTGTAGGTGTCTGGTCTGTAGTGTGTAGGTGTCTGGTCTGTAGTGTGTAGGTGTCTGGTCTGTGGGGTGTAGGTGTCTGGCCTGTGGGGTGTAGGTGTCTGGTCTGTAGTGTGTAGGTATCTGGACTGTTGGGTGTAGGTGTCTGGTCTGTGGGGTGTAGGTGTCTGGTCTGTAGTGTGTAGGTGTCTGGTCTGTGGGGTGTAAGTGTCTGGTCTGTAGTGTGTAGGTGTCTGGTCTGTAGTGTGTAGGTGTCTGGTCTGTGGGGTGTAAGTGTCTGGTCTGTAGTGTGTAGGTGTCTGGACTGTGGGGTGTAGGTGTCTGGCCTGTGGGGTGTAGGTGTCTGGTCTGTAGTGTGTAGGTATCTGGACTGTGGGGTGTAGGTGTCTGGCCTGTGGGGTGTAGGTATCTGGTCTGTGGGGTGTAAGTGTCTGGTCTGTAGTGTGTAGGTGTCTGGTCTGTAGTGTGTAGGTGTCTGGCCTGTGGGGTGTAGGTGTCTGGTCTGTAGTGTGTAAGTGTCTGGTCTGTAGTGTGTAGGTGTCTGGTCTGTAGTGTGTAGGTGTCTGGTCTGTGGGGTGTAAGTGTCTGGTCTGTGGGGTGTAAGTGTCTGGTCTGTGGGGTGTAAGTGTCTGGTCTGTGGGGTGTAGGTTGTTGGACTGTAGTGTGTAAGTGTCCGGTCTGTAGTGTGTAGGTACCTGGTCTGCAGTGTGTGTAGGTGTCTGGTCTGTAGTGTGTAGGTGTCTGGTCTGTGGGGTGTAAGTGTCTGGTCTGTAGTGTGTAAGTGTCTGGTCTGTTGTGTGTAGGTGTCTGGTCTGTGGGGTGTAAGTGTCTGGTCTGTGGGGTGTAAGTGTCTGGTCTGTAGTGTGTAGGTGTCTGGTCTGTGGGGTGTAAGTGTCTGGTCTGTGGGGTGTAGGTGTCTGGTCTGTAGTGTGTAGGTGTCTGGTCTGTGGGGTGTAAGTGTCTGGTCTGTAGTGTGTAAGTGTCTGGTCTGTAGTGTGTAGGTGTCTGGTCTGTGGGGTGTAAGTGTCTGGTCTGTGGGGTGTAGGTGTCTGGTCTGTAGTGTGTAGGTGTCTGGTCTGTGGGGTGTAGGTGTCTGGTCTGTAGTGTGTAAGTGTCTGGTCTGTAGTGTGTAGGTGTCTGGTCTGTAGTGTGTAGGTGTCTGGTCTGTGGGGTGTAAGTGTCTGGTCTGTGGGGTGTAAGTGTCTGGTCTGTGGGGTGTAAGTGTCTGGTCTGTGGGGTGTAAGTGTCTGGTCTGTGGGGTGTAGGTGTCTGGTCTGTGGGGTGTAAGTGTCTGGTCTGTGGGGTGTAGGTTGTTGGACTGTAGAGTGTAAGTGTCTGGTCTGTGGGGTGTTGGTGCCTGGTCTGTGGGGTGTAAGTGTCTGGTCTGTGGGGTGTAAGTGTCTGGTCTGTGGGGTGTAAGTGTCTGGTCTGTGGGGTGTAAGTGTCTGGTCTGTGGGGTGTAGGTGTCTGGTCTGTGGGGTGTAAGTGTCTGGTCTGTGGGGTGTAGGTTGTTGGACTGTAGAGTGTAAGTGTCTGGTCTGTGGGGTGTTGGTGTCTGGTCTGTGGGGTGTAGGTGTCTGGACTGTAGTGTGTAGGTGTCTGGTCCGTAGTGTGTAGGTGTCTGGTCTGTAGTGTGTTGGTGTCTGGCCTCTGTAATGTGTAGGTGTCTGGACTGTAGTGTGTAGGTGTCTGGTCTGTAGTGTGTTGGTGTCTGGACTGTAGTGTGTAGGTGTCTGGACTGTAGTGTGTAGGTGTCTGGTCTGTAGTGTGTTGGTGTCTGGACTGTAGAGTGTAAATGTCTGGTTTGTAGTGTGTTGGTGTCTGGTCTGTGGGGTGTAGGTGTCTTGACTGTAGTGTGTAAGTGTCTGATCTGTAGTGTGTGGGTGTCTGGTCTGTGGGGTGTAAGTGTCTGGTCTGTAATGTGTAGGTGTCTGGACTGTAGTGTGTAGGTGTCTGGTCTGTAGTGTGTAAGTGTCTGGACTGTGGTGTGTTTGTGTCCGGCCTGCGGGGTGTAGGTGTCTGGTCTGTGGGGTGTAGGTGTCTGGTCTGTGGGGTATAGGTGTCTGGTCTGTAGTGTGCAGGTGTCTGATCTGTAGTGTGTAGGTGTCTGGTCTGTGGGGTGTAGGTGTCTGGCCTGTGGGATGTAAGTGTCTATCTTGTTGTGTGTAGGTGTCTGGTCTGTAGTGTGTAGGTACCTGGTCTGCAGTGTGTGTAGGTGCCTGGTCTGTAGTGTGTAGGTACCTGGTCTGCAGTGTGTGTTGGTGCCTGGTCTGTAGGGTGTAGGTGTCTGGACTGTGAGGTGTAAGTGTCTGGTCTGTGGGGTGTAGGTGTCTGGACTGTAGTGTGTAGGTGTCTGGACTGTGGGGTGTAGGTGTCTGGACTGTTGGGTGTAGGTGTCTGGACTATAGTGTGTAGGTGTCTGGACTGTGGGGTGTAGGTGTCTGGACTGTAGTGTGTAGGTGTCTGGACTGTGGGGTGTAGGTGTCTGGTCTGCAGGGTGTAGGTGTCTGTAAATTACTACCAAAGACAATAAATAGATCTTAATTGTGCACCCCCCCTTTTAAAAAAAGCTGTATCCGCCCATGCTAAAAGCATTGGCTAGTTTCCTTGAATCCACATTAAAACAGAAAAGAAAAGGGTTTTTTGAAGAAAAAAAATTACAATTATTTTAAAGAAATGTGTTCATAGACTAAATGTAGTCTAATGGACACATTACACGATATAACTACATAAGCCCATGCACGCGGTTCAGACAGTGCAAGAGGCGTGGGACGGGGGTGACGGGAGCGGCCGTAGCGACATGACGGAGTACGACACTAATTGATGGTGCCGGGGACCTTCTTACCTAAAGAGAGTGCAGGGAAATAGACAGTAAACTTACTAAGTAGACCATTTCCCTGTCCTTACACTTACGTCACTCCATAGCATAAAACATTTTTGAAAATACTTTCTAATTTAATGATTCCACCATACATGTCTGTCGAAACGTCTTCGTCCATTACAGCTGCCCTCTCGCATATAGAAAAACTATGTACATCTGTATGTGGGTGCATTGAAGTCGTTCAGTGCTCGGGAAAAAAACAATGGTCACCAACAGCGGCGGCCGTTCACGGTCCCGAGTTGTAGATAATCGATACGAGTCCTGGTGACCTCTTCATGCTTTATTAATACACAAGAGCCAGGGTGAAGGTCAACTGTTGTCAGAACGCGAAAGCCACTTTCGTCTGGAACACAGAACAGATACGTCAGTAGGCCGACCATCCTGACGTGACTCTCGCATATTCATGGGTTACAATTAACTGCCCTGCATTGAAAGGTAACTCTTGGTGTTCGGTGGTAACGGCGTTAACATAGGATTTAAATACACATATCCACATAGCGCCACATACAAGCTACAGTGGAATATTGGCCCATATAGGATAGGCGTGACCGACACATCCCAGTAGAAATCAGAGGCCATATGTCGGTACATGTGTATATGGTAGAAATGCATGTAGGGTGCATATATAACACATTGAATGTCTAACGTCGCTACAAGTTACCTTTATATTTTCTTCAAGGAAATGAAACAATCACGTAATTACTACATAGTTTACTACATACATGCAACTGAACTTTTAAGCTAGGAGCCTTAAAAAGTTGTTTCGTGAACATTCAGAATATAATAACCCAACCTGCTGTTTACATACTCAATCTCTCTGTCCGTCAGTGATCCGAACAGACCATGGGCATCCTTCAGGGACCAAGGCAGGGGGTAAGCAGCAGCAAGTCCAGATATTGAAGTCATACATTGAACTCTGACTATAAGAGTTACGATCGTCTTAACATAGTTCCGTTATATGTTAACTGCCGTAGCCTCAGGTCGTTTTATGGAACCGTATACTCAAAACTATCGTAGCGCTATGATTGTCGTAAATCATTGTTAAACGATGGGAGTTACGCCGATCGTGGCCTTTTGATAGCTTTGTTGAACGGTATACTCAAAGGTGAGATGAGGTGAAATTGGGTGCTTTTCCGGACTAATGCCGATTTAAAGTGCTAGCTCACTGAGATACCATACCGCAGTTTAACATGAATACCCAACTCAGACACAGTATCCTGACTCCGAACCGACCAGTTCTTGTTTTAGACCCTTTATGCCGAGAGGGTAGCAACAAGTACCATCTTTTGGTGTGACGCGACCGGGGATCGAATCCCGGACCTTCCGCTCTCCG